GTTAGTGCAGTACAGTAAAACATGAGTATAGTTAGTGCAGTACAGTATAGTACAGTATTGTATGAGTATAGTTAATGCAGTACAGTAAAGCATGAGTATAGTTAGTGCAGTACAGTATAGTACAGTATAGTATGAGTATAGTTAGTGCAGTACAGTATAGTATGAGTTTATTTAGTGCAGTACAGTATAGTATGAGTTTATTCAGTGCAGTACAGTATAGTATGAGTATAGTTACAGTACAGTAAAGTATGAGTTTAGTTAGTGCAGTACAGTATAGTATGAGTATAGTTAGTACAGTACAGTAAAGTATGAGTTTAGTTAGTGCAGTACAGTATAGTATGAGTATAGGTAGTACAGTACAGTAAAGTATGAGTATAGTTAGTGCAGTACAGTAAAGTATGAGTATAGTTAGTGCAGTACAGTATAGTACAGTATAGTATGAGTATAGTTAGTACAGTACAGTAAAGTATGAGTATAGTTAGTGCAGTACAGTATAGTACAGTATAGTATGAGTATAGTTAGTACAGTACAGTATAGTACAGTATAGTATGAGTATAGTTAGTACAGTACAGTAAAGTATGAGTATAGTTAGTGCAGTACAGTATAGTACAGTATAGTATGAGTATAGTTAGTGCAGTACAGTATAGTACAGTATAGTATGAGTATAGTTAGTACAGTACAGTAAAGTATGAGTATAGTTAGTGCAGTACAGTATAGTACAGTATAGTATGAGTATAGTTAGTGCAGTACAGTATAGTACAGTATAGTATGAGTATAGTTAGTACAGTACAGTAAAGTATGAGTATAGTTAGTGCAGTACAGTATAGTACAGTATAGTATGAGTATAGTTAGTACAGTACAGTATAGTATGAGTATAGTTAGTGCAGTACAGTATAGTACAGTATAGTATGAGTATAGTTAGTACAGTACAGTAAAGTATGAGTATAGTTAGTGCAGTACAGTATAGTACAGTATAGTATGAGTATAGTTAGTACAGTACAGTAAAGTATGAGTATAGTTAGTGCAGTACAGTATAGTACAGTATAGTATGAGTATAGTTAGTACAGTACAGTATAGTATGAGTATAGTTAGTGCAGTACAGTATAGTACAGTATAGTATGAGTATAGTTAGTATAGTACAGTATAGTATGAGTATAGTTAGTGCAGTACAGTATAGTACAGTATAGTATGTGACTAGGCATTGAACACGTGGCTCTCAACGGCATGTACTGTCCATTCAGTGCATTTCATCGAAAACTTTTACTTTCTGTGGGACTGCAGACATCTTTTTAAGGCAGATGGACTTCGCCTTAACAAGTCAGGAGTAAAACAGTTCAGCTCCAACCTGTTTTACTTTCTGCGTCACTCGTCTGTTCCCTCTGCCAAGGACAAGAGACAAGAGGAATCTAAACAAGAAGAAGACATAACACAACATGGCAGAAACCTTGAAGGAGAGCCACCTCAGCCCCCGCCGGAAGAGAGCTCTGATCACGGGAGACATCTGAGCCAAGAGAAAGAGCCTCCACCTCCCTCACTGAAAACCAACAGTGAGGATTCACCCACCTTCAGACACCCTTTCTCCCCTCTCCCCCCTGTTGGACTTCACTGATCACATGGAAGACCTGGTTAGAGCTGGGACCAAATTTACTCCCCGCACCTTCCCTCACTCCACTCCCATCTTCTCCACCCTAAACCCCCCCTCACCGTCCACCTCCACCACTGGCTCTAAGTCCTCCAGGTTTGACACATGTGTCACAAATACAGCTCCCAACCCGTCCTCCCGCTCTGCAATGGCGAAGAAGCCCAATAAGCTCTGTCTGATATGTGCTGGGTCCAGGCTACAAGGAAAATGGCACTCGTGACTCTTCCCAGGACAAGCCGGGGCCCAGTGTGCTGGTAGTCTTCTCCATCCCTGTCTTGATAGGTAACAGAAAAAGCATGGTGAATGTGTTAAGAAACAGGAAGCACTCAACATATCCTGCAAGTTTAGTATCAATTCCTCGTCAGCCGCAGCCTGTCAAAAAAAGTGGGCCAGATAATGTTTTTAACACACTAAAATTTGCTTTGTTAAACGTTAGGTCTTTGGCAGGAAAAACATTTTTAATCAATGATTTTATAATCACTCACAATCTTAATTTCATGTTTTTAACTGAAACTTGGTTGGACCAAGATAACAGTGCAGCTGTCCTTATCGAGTCTACGCCTCCCAACTTCAGTTTCATGAGTGAAGCTAGAGTGCACAAGAGAGGAGGTGGAGCTGCCATTTTGTTTAATGACTCCCTCCAATGCAAAAAGATGTCTTATGGGAATTTAGCTTCTTTTGAATATGTGGCTCTTCAGCTGAATTCCTCTTCTCGAGCTGTTTTCCTAAATGTCTACAGGCCCCCTAAATACTGTGCAAACGTTTTTGATGACTTTGGTGAACTGCTGTCTATAATCTGTATTGACTTTGACTGTGTGGTTATTGTTGCTGATTTTAACATCCATGTTGACAACCCCCAGGACAGAGGGACTAAAGACCTGTGTTGTGTTCTTGATAATTATGGACTGACCCAACATGTGACGGAGCCCACGCACAACAAGGGGCCCACTTTGGACATGGTCATCTCCAAGGGTCTGGACATTTCCAAGGTTGTGGTAACTGATGTTGCTCTCTGATCATTCCTGTGTTTTCTTTGAGAGTGCTATCTGCGTGCACACAAATGTAGAAACAGAGGTGATCACAAAACGGCATATCACTGAAAACACTAGTGAAAAATTTATTGAGGCTTTCTCCTCGACACCCGCCCTCTCACGGGTCTCAGTCAATGAGCTTGTAGATAATTTCAGTTCTAAAATTACAAATGTTATTGATGCCATTGCAGCAGCCAAGGTGAAGGTGGTCTCTGGTAAGAGAAGATCTACATGGAGAACCACGCTGGTTAGAACTCAAAAAAGAGAGTGTCGAAAAGCTGAACGCAGGTGGAGGAAAACAAATCTCCAGGTTCATTATGACATCTATAAAGAGAGACTTCGCATTTATAATTTAGAGCTGAGAAATGCAAGGCGGTCCTTCTTCTCTGACATCATCACCAAAAACACTAATAATGCACGTGCCCTGTTTGCTGCTGTGGACCGGCTAACCAACCCTCCTGTGTCTGTAGCCTCTGAACTTTTATCCACCAGAGCCTGCAATGAATTTGCCTCCTTCTTCACAGACAACATTCAAACAATTAGACAAGCAATCAGTGCCTCCATGTCAGTAACAGGATATGTCTTGTCCCTGAGTCCACTTAAAAACAATTCATATAGCATGAGACAATTTGATTCTATTAACCATAAAAACCTGGAGGACATAATACAACATCTGAAATCCTCCTCATGCTGCCTTGATATTCTGCCAACAGGTTTTCACAGAAATGTGTCTAAATGCATGGCCTCAGATTTACTACAAACTGTCAACATGTCTCTCCTCTCAGGTTTTTTCCCACAGGCCCTGAAAACTGCAGTCATTAAGACACTCTTAAAAAAGAGCAATCTAGACAGTTCACTAATGAGCAATTATAGGCCCATATCAAATCTCCCATTTTTAAGTAAAATCATTGAAAAGGCTGTTTTTCAACAGCTTAGTGCTTTCTTGGCACTAAATAACTGTTTTGATGTCTTCCAGTCAGGTTTTCGACCACACCACAGCACTGAGACGGCTCTTGTTAAGGTCTTCAATGATATCCATTTAAACAGTGACAGTGGCAGAATTTCAGTAGGTCAACGATTGGATGTGCCAGAAGTTTCTTCAATTAAACAAGGATAAAACTGAAGTTATTGGTTTTGGAGCCAGGGAGGAACGATTGGAAGTCAGTGCTCGACTTCAATCTGTAATGTTAAGAACCACAAATCAAGCCAGAAATCTTGAATTTAAGCAGCCACATTAAGACAATTACAAAGTCAGCCTACAATCACCTGAAGAATATATCAAGGATTAAAGGACTTATGTCTCAGCAGGACCTGGAAAAACTTATCCATGCATTTATCTTCAGTCGACTCGACTACTGTAACAGCGTCCTTACAGGCTCCCTAAGAAATCCATCAGACAGCTGCAGCTGATTCAGAACGCTGCTGCTCGAGTCCTCACTAAGACCAAAAAGGTGGATCACATCACTCCAGTTCTGAGGTCTTTACACTGGCTTCCTGTCTGTCAAAGAATTGATTTCAAAATCCTGCTGTTAGTTTATAAAGCACTAAATGGTTTAGACCAAAATACATTTCTGATCTTCTGCTTCGTTACGAACCATCCAGACCTCTCAGGTCGTCTGGGACCAGGTCTGCTTTCTGTCCCCAGAGTAAAACTAAACAAGGAGAAGCAGCGTTCAGTTATTATGCTCCGTATATCTGGAACAAACTCCCAGATAACTGCAGGTCTGCTGAAACTGTCAGTTCTTTTAAATTAAGACTGAAGACTTTTCTTTTTACCACTGCTTTTAATTAAATATTTCTCACAGTGTGAGGATGGTATAGTACAGTTATAGTGTAGCACTGGTGTGGTGGTCTTGGGGAACTGGTCTGATGTGGTCTGGTGGTCTGGTCCTTGTGTTTGATCCTGTCTCAAAGCGCCTGAAGGGAACCTTTACCTGGCCACAGCTGTGTTGCCGTGGAGACGTGTTGTTTGGAGGTGAAGGTGACCTTCGGGAGTTTATCAGGTAAAATGATCAGAAACTGCCAGCAAAACAAACACAGCAGTTCAAACATTAACATGCATTACAGTACTACTACTACTACTACTACTACTACTGCTACTACTATTAATGTATACTCAGAGAAATATAACTGCATTCTGCACCTGCTCAGGTAAAAAAGTTGATTTTCTCTAAAATAAATCTGAATATTTTGATGACATTTTAAATCAGTTCACAAAACATTGATTATATTTAATCAGTCAGTTTCTGGCTCCGCCTACAATGTCTGTCCGTCCTATCACGTCAAAGAAAAGACTAAGTCTATAAATAGCTCTGCTGCAGCCGGACTCCTTCTCATTCCCTGAGCTCCAAAAGGTTTCTGTGATCTGGGCCGGGTCTCTGCACCTGTTGTTTTGTCGTTTGGAGAGTTTTTGCTTTTGGGATTTTCCTAGTGGTGCTGGTCCCGGTGGTGCTGCTGGTGATTTTGGTCACGGTTTTGGGGACATGGAGCGTCGTCAGAGTCTGGAGGAGCAGCTCCGGTGTCCTGTCTGTCTGGACGTCTTCAGTGAACCTCTGATGTTACAGTGTGGACACTCTTATTGCAGGTACATGAACGCATGAATGGATGGGACACACCTGTCCTCACCTACCCTGTCCTGTCCTCACATCACCTGTCTTGTCCTCACCTGTCCTGTCCTCCCATCACCTGTCTTGTCCTCCCCGAACTTGTCCTCACCTGTCCTGTCCTCACATCACCTGTCTTGTCCTCACCTGTCCTGTCCTCCCATCACCTGTCTTGTCCTCCCCGAACTTGTCCTCACCTGTCCTGTCCTCACATCTCGTGTCTTGTCCTCACTTATCCTGTCCTCACATCACCTTTGCTGTCCTCACTTATCCCTTCCTCACATCTCGTGTCTTTCCCTCGCCTGTCCTGTCCTCACATCCCCTCTCTTGTCCTCACCTTTCCGGTTCTCATATCACCTGTCCTGTCCTCATATCACCTGTGTTGTCCTCACATCCCCTCTCTTGTCCTCACTTATCCTGTCCTTACATCACCTTTCATGTCCTCAACTATCCTGTCCTCACCTGTCTTGTCCTCACCTGTCCTGTCCTCACATCCCCTCTCTTGTCCTCACCTTTCCGGTTCTCACATCACCTGTCCTGTCCTCTCATCACCTGTGTTGTCCTCACATCCCCTCTCTTGTCCTCACTTATCCTGTCCTTACATCACCTTTCATGTCCTCACCTGTCTTGTCCTCACTTATCCTGTCCTTACATCACCTTTCATGTCCTCACCTGTCTTGTCCTCACCTATCCTGTCTTGTTCTTGTGGTGTCCGAACGATAATGCTGCGATGATGTGTTGAGAAGAAATCCGCTTGACACTGTTCTTGGTTATAAAAGTTTATTACATCAAAGAATTCAGCATCAATTACAAGCTCTGCAGCAGCTTGGAGAGTGACCCAGCCCGATGACCACTCTGTCTCTCTGTACATCGAACACAGCTTATATAGGACATGTTTAGGTCTCTGCTAAATACCATATAAGGGCACAGTCCCTTCATACACACTAATCTCTACTCCCCCTACCACTGGGTCAGAGGTCAAATTCCATAGAAGGGTTCACTCTTTACACACCCATCAATCATTACTTCCCCATAAGGGTTCACTGTCCCTCTCTCCAGCTGCTAGAGTATTATTTTAAACTGTAATGGTCAAATGCACATATGTTATACACCACATATTCCCCCCTACGAGACTTAATTGAGTCTCAAAAAACAAAAAGAGATAAATTTCTCCAACACATACTTCTTGCATATTATTTTTAGCAGCATATCAACTTTATGGAGTGTGAGAACGAAAAACCTGTCCGGCAGCCTTCATTCCAAATTCCCTCCAAGACAATCTAGACAGGAAAATTTTCTCACGGCCGCTCTGCCTTAGGCGGACACGCATAGTACTCCAGTCCAATTACTAAAAGACATCTTTATCAGTCAATGCAGAAATATGGTTAAGCCAATACATGTGAAAACCTCAGGAAATAAAACAAATCAAAACAATGTCCGAATTCAGGCTGGTCAACCCATCGGACCCTCCAACGGACCTTTCCCTGCCTAGACCCTATATCCCTAAGCATCAAGAAAAAGAAAAAACCTGAGGTCCCCAAATATTAACTCCCTAACTGAAAGTACAAGTCTTTACACAGTTAACACAAAAAGAATATGATCATTAATTAAGTATTATTCATTCACATATGTATTCATTTCTATATCAAAGTAGACACAGGAAAGTATTCCACTGCAGCTCCTCAGCAGTGTCGATGCAATCCAGACGTTTCCACACCGTCCTTGTCCAGAGTCCATTCATATTGTCCTTGTTTGAGTATTTGAATCCCCATCTGTACATCCCCATATACTCTGGAAGAAAAGAAAACACCAACCAGTATCTTGTTGCAAAATAACACATGAAAATTAAAACCTCAATGTATGAAAATACAAAGTAACATTAAAATGGATATCTTTCCATCATTACTTCATCTGGTTCCCCTTCATCATCTCCATCTGAATCAGCCATAGTTAACAAAGGCATCTGAGTGTTCTCCCCAGGCATTACCACTCCAACCCATCTCAATATCATAGCTTTCGCAAAAGTCAATAGCACCGTACAAAAGCACAACATCAAACACAGCGCTACAAAAGCTGCTACCAAAATCTGAACCACCACTGCTCCCACTGGTCCTAACTGATTTTGTAGCCAAGTATTTGCTGACCATCCAGCTCCCTCAGATTGACCAAACGCATCCCTTATACTCTTTAATGCACCTATAACACTAGTGATATTATCAGAACTATCTGGGATCAAAGTATAACAACCGTCTCCCGTCAAGTTCATAGCCACACACAAACCTCCCACACGATAACAAGACCCATCAGTCCAATACTCCAGGTCTGCCTCACGTAGTGGAAGGGCTTGCAAGTCTGATCTAAGCCTTGAGTATTTCTCTGCCTCTTGAACACCATCATGTGGCTCACCATCCTCCGACGTTGGCAAATTCTCGGCTGGATTTACCGTATCACACCTTACCAGGGTGACATCCTCCTGCTCTAAGAGCCTATGATAGTCTCTAAGCCTTGGCATAGTCAATGTGTATTTTCCCCTAGTTCAGTAGATTCCTGAGACTATGATGGGTAAGAATTGTCACTGGGTAACCCCTCGTAACAGATGATGCTTTGTCATACATTAAATAAACTCCAACCATTGCTCTGTAGCACAGTGGTAGCCCTAATTCCACTTCTGAATATGCAGTCGAATAATAGGAAATAGGTTGAGGATTCGACCCTGTACCCATCGGCTGACAAAGGACTGCACATGCATATTTACCTCCAGTGGAATTAGACACATACAACAAGAAATTCTTGGAGTAGTCTGGTAGTGTGAGCGCTGGCGCCTCCTGTAACCTCTGTTTGATTGTTTCAAATGCCACAAGGCCTTCCTGTGTCCAGGTCAGATTGCTGTGAAGTTGAGCGTTCCCAGTATCCTTAACCATAGCTCTCAAAGGTCCCGTCAAACTAGAATAATCCTCAACCCATGCTGAAGAATAACCAGCAATACCAAGAAACGTCAACATCTCTCTGACAGTTCTGGGCTTTGGAGCCTTGCGAATAGCCTCCAATTGACAATCAGAAATGATTCTGTGTCCATGCGTTATTGTCTGACCCAAATATACAACCTTCTCCTGGCAATATTGCAACTTCTTTTGTGAGGCCTTATGCCCCTTTTCTGCCAATATTTGTAGCAATTTAATTGAGTCTTTGTGACATGTTTCTTCATCTTGTGAACAGATCATAATATCGTCGACATATTGAATCACAGTACTCTGCAATATCTGATCTATCCCTACCAAATCATCTTTCAATACTTTGTTAAAAATATGAGGACTGTGTTTAAATCCTTGTGGCAATCTCTCATACTCATAAAACTGTCCTTTATATGTGAATCCAAATAAACCCTGACTCTCTACACTAAGAGGAACACTAAAAAATGCACCACACAAATCTAACACCGTGAAATGTGTTGCATCAGAAGGGATTTGGGCTAACAAAGTATGTGGATCCGGAACTTCTGCTGGAAAATCAGTTACCACTTCATTTACTGCTCTCAAATCATGAACCATACGATAAGTCTCATCAGGTTTCTTCACAGGCAACAAAGGCGTGTTACTCTGTGGATTTGTTGTCATCTTCAAAACACTTGCTTTCAAAAGTCCTTCAATTTGTGGTTCGATTCCTTGAATTGCTTCATCCTTCAATAGATACTGATACTTCCAAGGTGGTCTAGCTCCTGGTCGAAGTTCTACTTTCACTGGTTGGGCTGATTTCACAAGTCCAATATCGGTACTGTGTTGAGACCACAAACATTCTGGAACTTCTCGCAACATCTCCTCTTTCATAGAATCTGAGTCCATCTTGGCACTACAAATAGATTCATGTGTCATCCGTACAGCTTGTGGCTGTCCTTGTCCTTTAGCTGAAATCATGATTTTCGAATCGCTGATCTGTACTCCTCCAAATTGCCAAATTCTCTTTCATCGGTACAAAAACAGCTTCCTCTGCTTCTGTCATCATTTCCCCTATGTGTTTCTGCTCATAGTCTTCCGAAACCAACAAAGTCACATGTGGCACACTCTTCTCAATTTTGAATTCTTTCTCCAGATAATCATCAGTGTTTACCTTCATAGCTGCTCCTCATGGTCCCAAAATTATGCAACATGAGCTTAGTTGAATTTCCTTTGGTTGATGAGCCAACCATTCCTCTGGGTTTGCTTGGGCAGCATTCTTGAAATACTTGAGCGTACAATGGAATGGATATTCTGGAAGTTTCGCATCTGGCATGTTCGCCACAATGAATTTCTCCCATATCTTAGCCGGCTCCAAGAAATCTGCACTGAGATTTCCAATCCAGAATACTGCAGAGGACTCCATCTCTGTTGTCATCAATAGTTGGTGGACCATTTCTTTTGGCACTTCTATCAGACAGCCATCTGGTGTACATTTTATTGTGCAGTTCAATCTACACAAAGCATCTCTTCCCAGTAGAGCAATAGGTGTATGTTCTGATACCAATATGGGTATTGTAGTTTTCTGATTTTTATAGCAGAGCTCAATTGGTTCCGTGAGAGGAATCAGCTGCTTCACTCCCTCAAACCCCCTTGTCCGAATCAGTTGATTGTACATAGGAAGATGTGTAGCATCTTCAGGCCGAACACAGGTGAAAGCCGCTCCGCTATCCGCCATCACTTCCTATGGTCGGTTATTTACTTTCACCTCAGTTGTTGGATCTCTTTCCGGCCCTGATGCTACCAGCTGACACCCCCCTTTCGGATTTTCTGGGCACCTCTAGAATCCTGGCTCCGGGCCCCTGTGAGGGTTCACCAGTCCTCCAAGCGACCTTGACTTGAATCCTCCTCTGAAATTTCCTCCTCTGAAATTTCCTCCTCTGAAATTTCCTCCTGAGCTATTGCACTCACGGGCAAAGTGACCAACCTGTCCACAATTGTAACACACTTCTGGAGATTGCTGAAAGTATGGATTAAATCCTCCTCTTCTT